GGGGGGGGGGGCAAAATTGTTTTCGCTTTGGGCGGCAAAAATCCTAGAGCCGGCCCTGATCCTGACAACACCAAGCACTGACACTTTATTCTTTGTATGTTTTTCCTGTTCCCAATAACAGTATCTACAATAACCTCATCAAGAAATGTTCCTTTATTGGAAATACATATACATAGACTTTTGTTCTTTTAACTATATTTTATCATTACTTTTGTGTTGAAACACAAAATACACAGTAAATTAACTCTCCAAGAAGGGGCCATTATTTCATAGATTTTTTTATGTTATTGTGAATAGGTTTGTGTAAAAACACAGAGAATAAGTTACATTGAGAAGATTTTCAAGAACAATATTATTTTAAAAAAGAAATATCATGGCTACACAGTTAAATTGTGTCCTGTGTTCTTAAAAACTCATACATCAGGGTTTCAGCCAACCGCTTGCAAGAGTCAACATCTCTCCCCGCCCAAAATCCTTGTTATCTCCTTCCTCTGAAGCATCAGGAATGGCCACAGCTAGGGATAGGGCCAGGGCTCTGAATTCTCTCCTACAGGTGCTAGGCTGGGTGGTTCTTGCTCATATGGTCAGGGGCTAAGTGATCGCCCTAGTCCTGGGGCAATTATGCAGAATTTTGCAGCATTCTCTGTTTTCCCCACAGAATTTCTGGCCACCACTAGGCGCCGCTGGACTCTGCAGAGCCCAGCTCGCAGTGAGCGGAGCGCTCAGCCTGGCTGGGCTGGAGGCTGCTCGCTCTTTGATCCTCCTTCTCCCGGGGACAGGAGCGGGCCTGGGAGACCCGGCCAGCTCTGGCGGAGGGTGAGGAAGGGCGGGGGCGCGGGCGCACCACGCTGTGTGCCCTGGCGGGACAGGAAAGAAGTTGGGGGGTGGGGCTGGTGTTTGGGCCGGGGGCTGCCCCACGGCTGGGCTCTGTGGGGGGTGCCTGGGCCGGGGGCTGCCCCGTGGCTGGGGACGCTGGTGGCTGGGGGCTGCCCTGCAGCTGGGCTCTGGGGGGTGTGTGGCTGGTGCCTGGGCCGGCACTGCCCCGGGGCTGGGCTTTGTGGAGAGGGCGGGTGCTGGTGTCTGGGGGGGCTGGGCCGGGGGCTGCCCTGCAACTGGGGGTGGGGTGGGGCTGAGAACTGGGCTCTGGTGGGAGGGGTGTGTGGATGTCTGGACTAGAGGGTGCCCCGTGGCTGGGCTCTCGGGGGCAGGGGGTGTAGGGTCAGGAAGGAATTCCCCCCCCCCCAGATCTGATTGGCAGAGACCTTAGATGTTTTTTGCCTTCTGCAGTGTGTGGGTGCAGGTCACTTGACAGGATTACCTAGGTCAGCGGTTCTCAAACTGTGGGTCAGGACCCCATTTTAATGGGGTCGCCAGGACTGGCTTAGACTTACTTGGACCTGGGCCGAAGCCAGAGCCCGAGGACTTCAACCCTGGGTGGTGAGGCTCAGGCTGGGCTTCAGCTTTGTTCCCCCGCCTGAGGTGGTGGGGCTTTGGCTTTGGCTCCCCCATGCAGGGCAGCAGGGCTCAGGGTGGGCTTAGGCTTCAGTCCCCCCTCCTGGGGTTGTGTAGTAATTTTTATTGTCAGAAGAGGGTCACGGTGCAATGAAGTTTGAGAACCCCTGACCTAGGTATACCTCACTTAACGATTTCCCTGTTGTTGGCTATTGCAGGGGCCTCGGGCAGGGATGCACCTCAATCCCCCCCATTCTCTTGTGCCTGTGGCACATAAGTCTAGTCTCCTGTGAGCTGTAATACTTTAGTCTAATTTCAGTTGTTGGGTTTAGTGTGTGTGGATGTTGGTGGTGTGTGATATACAGGTCAGACTAGATGATCTGGTGGTCCTTTCTGGCCTTACTCTCTATGACTCTACAGAGTAAAATATTTCCCCCTACTTTTTACTGCTTGGAGAGAGATCCACAGAATCTACAGAGGTTACTGAGCTTTTTGCCCCACTTGTGTGGGAGATGTGGGCTATCTGTTCATGGATTTACAGAGCACAATCTGGCACAGTCTGTCAGTGCCAAACTAATTTCTAAAATAAGCTTAAATCATTTAATCTATTTTTAGGTCTGTCTGGCTAAGCCAGTACTATTGCTATCCTAATGATAGTAATTTGGCTCAAAGAAAAATGTGTTGGAAGCAAAATTGTTGCATAATTGCCTCCAAGGCTGCTGGCCAACTACAATTCCACAAGCCTTCCAAAGAGTGAAACCTGGGAAGATGCTCTCCGTTCTAAGATGTACATTACCCTTGGAAGCAGTCAGATAAAATTCTGGCTTTGGTGTTGGACCTGTCCTTTTCCTACCGCCCCCCCTTTCCGAGTTGCAAACCTGACTGGACCACCGGACACTTGAGAACTCAGTGAGTTTGCATACCTATCACCATCACCAACGGCCACAAAAACCCTCTAGTTTGAGGACCCATTCTACACAGCATAGTCCCCTTTCCACTGTTTGAAGTGCCTCTATGGCTAGGGACTGCTCTATTTATGGGTTATAAGGCTTAATTATGCAATTTTATAATTAAACTCTATATGTTAGAAGCTCATAGCTTTTAGCTCCTTCTTTGTTTTCTTTTTAAATATCAAAAACGCCCAGAGTCACAGATGGGCAGCTTTTTGAATATATTGTGATAAATCACCATAAATAAATATATTTGTATTTAATATTTATGTGGTGGTAGTGGCTAGAGGCCCCACTCAAGATTGCCATATGAGTCTCTCGATGTCACTGTTTCAGCTAAATTTGAAAACAAGTTAGCTGTCGTGAAGCTGGTGGGGGAAAATGTTTTCAGCATTGGAACAGAGCACCATGTAGCGTGGGCTGGGGTAACTGTAGGGAAACAGCTTTGTTACATCAACCCTAGCAGCCAATCTGTTCTCATCAGCTGCCGAGGGGAGCCCCATGGCAGACAGCCACTGTCAGCAATAGCATTGCCAACCCCAAACATTCAAAAATCATGAGTAAGAGTCACCAAAAATCACAAGATTGGCTTTAAAACCATGGGATTATGTAAAAATAATAGATTTGGTGTTTCTTTTATTTGCCTTCTGCTTTTTGAGGCATTAGGTGCACTGGGGTCATATTTTGAAGCTTTCTCCACCACCACAAGGGCTAGAATAATAAGTGCCGACTCCGTGGGTGCTCCAGGGCTGGAGTACCCATGGGAAAAAAAAATTGTGGGTGCTCACTACCCACCAATGACCCTGCTGATCAGCTCCTCCCCCTCCCAGTGCTTCCTGCCTGCTATGATCAGCTGTTCAGCAGCGGCAAGAGGTGCTGTGGGGGGAGGGGGCACCCTTGAGGGAGGGGGCAAAACAGGGTGGGAAGAGGCAGAGCTGGGGAGCGAAGAGGTTCGGCCTTGGGGGAATGGGTGGAGAGGGGGCAGAGCAGGGGTCGAGCACCCCATGGGAAATGACAAAGTCGACACCTGTGGCTAGAATGTACTTTAAGAATGAAGGCTGAACTCATCACATATTCACTTGACTCCAGAAGGAAAACAATAATTACCATGAGATGCAGGACAAAATCTTGAGTGTCGATAACACTGCAATAGGGGATTTTCTAATTGCAGGGAGACCCTAGGAGTCTATGTGTAGCTGTGCTGGTTGCCAGCCTCTCACCGTGGAGGGGCTGCCTGCTCAGTGGTGACAGCCAGGGCACTGTGACTTGCCCACTCCCTCGAGTGCTTCCTTTAATCTGCCCTCAGTTCTCCTCCATCCTGGGAGCCCGCCAGTCCCCCCAACCAGGGTCCCCCACTCACATCCCGGAGCCTGTCCTGACCCCCACCTGGACCGGTGCAGCTGAGACTTACGTGCACGTCACACCCCACCTGGGCGGGGGGGGCTGCCCCCCCTTATCAGGCCACCCATGGCCTGGGCAGATCCACAACACCGTAACCTCCTGAGTGTAGGGTGGGAGGATCCCACCACCACAGGCCCAGCCCTTGCGCAGCCCACGCCAGCTGCTCTACAGCATGGCACCCATCAGTCCTCCCCACAAGCTCCACGCACCACACCTCTGCCGCACTCTCATTGAACAACTGTTCCTCCCTCTCTTCCTGCCCCGAGGTGTTGTGGGAGCGCTGGGCAATATCAGAGGGGCGGAGATGCACTGCTCTGTTTCAGTCCTCGTGCGATTTCCACCCTGCTGGCTGTCATGAACAATCCAGGGGCTATGGGAGGTCGTTGCTGTCTGAGTTCCCCTCTCCTTTGCCCGGCCACCGCTTCCTCTGGTGAGGTTTGGTATTGTCCATGCAGCCGTGCTGAGTAGGAAGGGGGTACGGGTGAGTCGGAGCTTGAAGCCCCCCCCCCCCACTCTGTTTCTGGTGTGATCACACCCCAGCCGCTGCCGAGCGAGAGACGTGGAAGCCACCATGCAGGTAACGACCCGGGGCTTTCAGCGCCCGCATCCTGGAGGGAAGGCGAGAGGTCGGGGAGGCCTCCCCATGTGCCACGTCCTGAGGAGAAGTGGGGTGGGTCTGTCGCAGCTTGTGGTGGCCACTGCCCTTTGGGCAGGGCTGGGCTGCGGCAACCGCTTGCTCCTCTCAGCCCGACCAGTGAGTGGTGAAATCCTGCCCTCCGCTGGGGCTGCTCTGGCTCCTCCCACCAGAACATTAACTCTGGAACCTACTGACTATGGCGTGAGCTCATGATCCAGCCCCATGTGTGGGCGGGGCATTCGCGATGTGAAGATCCGCTGCTATCTTAGTGTCATGAGTGGGCGGAGTTCAGGGAGCTGCCCTCCCAGGCCCAGTGGAGGGTTCCAATGCTGTTGCTGCCTGTTGCATACAAACGCGTGTGCAATGTTCCCATGTGCGTGGCGCTGGCCAATAAAGGGTCATTAGAGCCTTCTAGTGAAGGAGGGTTCACTCTGCTCAGTGGTTCCTGATACCACCCTAGGTACAAACCACTGTAGCTCCAGCTACCATAGGAAATGGTATGGGGATGTGTACCGGGGTGTGGTTGTAACAACTTGGCTGTGCCTTGTCTCATTGTAATTTATGGTGATATTAGAGGGACCTGCCAATGCAGAGTCCTTTGCAGGATTGGGATCTGAATGGTAGCAAATACACACGTTCATTTTACCAGTGTCGACAGGACCTCTATATCTACTGCAAATTGAAACTCCCATAGCTACAGCCTTGTTCAGCGTTGTCTACTATGCGTACTACAAAGTAGTGTATTGGAGAGGGGTTATGGTTTATTGGCTAAGTATAGATACTAGAAGTCAGCATTGCCAGGTTCTGTTTCTAGTTCTTGGACAAATCACTTACCTCTTCTGTGAGACAAGGTGACTCAGGTAATATCTTTTTTATTGGACAAACTTCTGTGGGAGAGCGAGCACCACCCAGAGCTCTTCTTCAGGTCTGGGAAAGGTACGTGGATCATCATAGCTAAATGCAAGGTGGAAGATGCTAGATGCATCTTGTCTTTCTAATATCCTGGGACTGACGCAGCTACAACAATGCGTATTCATTCTTCTGTATGTGTTTCTTCATATTTGTTATCCATGTTGCAGTGGTATGGATGATTTCAAGGATGCCATCACCTTGATTTTAAAACTTTAATTAAAAGTAGCTTTTAATAGTACACCTGCCTCATTTTCTTGTGTGTATAAAACAAACATGCACATAAACACAAAACCAAACCTTTTCTTCCCCTGTTGCTATGTGAAAGACCCACACAAACAAAAGGGAAGACTGAGTGACTATACAGTGACTCACTGTACACAAGTGATGGTAAATACACAAACTGAAAAGGAAATGTTTCTGTTCTTCTAGTTACAATAAATCTGAGTTTCTCTGATAGCAAAGCTAGGTAAGATTTTCAGTGAGAAGTGTGTGTCTTTTTTAGTTGATATCCCTTTAATTAAGTAATAATTGGAAAATGCGTTGAGATCTGTATGATTACTGTTACAAATGTTTGTAGTAGAAATAATAAACTGCATATGCCAATTTTCTCTGTGGAAAAACTATTTACTTTTTTATCCTAAATTGTTTTAAGAAATGACTTATTGAGGGTTGACTCAGTATGCTGTCAGCACAGAGTATGCTGTTGGCACTTCACAAATAATGAAAGCTCTATATGTAGCAGCATCCTAGCAGTACTTATAGAAAGCAAATGTTTGGACAGCAGGGTAGAGCATTCTGTATTCTGAAATACCCTGAAATGTATTGCGACTCTCATTGTTTGCAATTTTAAAAATAAAAGCCTTTGTTTAAAGTTTGTATATAGCTTGTTTATCAGCTGAGGCGTGCTGTGGTAACAGTTGCTTTTCCCTTCTTGCAGGTACCTCGTCGGTAGCTTGCAAATCTGCAGGCAATGATGTAGGCTGAATTTTTATTAAAAAAAAAAAAATTGCTGAACACTTCTTAACTAGACAGAACTTTTTAGTATCATTCAATGCCTAACATTGCAGAAGGTGAAAGGGAGAATGGTTCTGGACACAAAGAAAACAGACCTGAAGAAAAATCTCCAGAAGCTACTCTTCATAATGATGTAAAGCCATATTGCACTTCAGATGCATCCGCTGTGTCACTGGGTCCTACTGGAGATGGGCATTATCCATGGGGATGTCCTGTGACTCACACCCGAGAAAAAATTTATACCATCTGCTCAGACTATGCTTTTTTAAATCAGGTAACGTCCGTTTGTAAAAGTCCAAGTGCTACAGTTAGTGCCTGCCTATCAGATAGTGCTGCCTTAAATGTTGGAAATAATACACCTAACTTCATTGGCATTCAAAGTGGAGCTTCTGAGATAATCTACAATGAAGACACTAACTTGGAAAATTTATCTAGTAGTCTTGGAAAGCTTCCACTGGCATGGGAAATCGACAAATCAGAGTTCAATGGAGTGACCCCAAATCTGAAAAGCAGAGCAGGTAAGACATTACAGCACTGCACCATTCAGAAAAATGCTGCATGAGTGACGTGGAGGGCCAATGCAAGACCCTCCCCCACTTACATTGTGCATTGGAACTACGTAGATGTGTGTTGTAGAAATGGTCTTTGTGCTGGCCCCACAGATGCTGGTCTTGGGGGCTTGGATAGGAGTGGGTCAGGCCAGGGGAGTAGTGGCTGCAGTGTTCCCAACCTTGTGGCTCTTCCTTACTCTACTTTTGCTTTCCTGTAGAACCCAGTACTTTGTTTGACATGGCATACATTTTCAAGCTGTGTAGAAATAATACAAGGCGTTGTAAATCTTATGTGCTCATATAAGCCAACCTCTTTTTCAGCTAAGGGTGGGGGAAATGAATACTTTATTATTGTGTTCTCTTGGTATTACATTTTGTCACTGTTTGAAAAATAAAACTTTTAGAGCAGACAGAAAGGACTGACGTCTATTTTTAAAAGGGAAGAAATTGCTGGCCTTGTGACTTTCAGCTTTGATCCAGCTACCTTGAAAAACTGCCCAAAGGCTCCTGTGAGAAAACCAACAAAAGCAAATGTTATCTTTATAAAATTAAATTTATTATGCATGGAGAAAGTCAAAATTTCCCAAACACTGTTCAAGCATTTTGAATTGTGTATGTATATGATAAACTGTGTTTTCCACTGTTTTGTGTTCCTCTTGTTTCTGCTTAGCCAAAGATTTTAATGGTTTATTGACCATGCATATGTATACAACTGATTTTTATATCTGGCCTATAATCACTGAGTATGCCTAGAGCCATTGCTTTAGATTTTTCTTATGAGTTGGCTGACCAGTCAAGGTCTAATTTAGCTTAATGATTGCAAAACAGTCTTTGCAACTCTTAAATACTTTTTTAAGATATAAAATGCTATTGGCTTTGTCTTCGTATATTCATATGGTGCTCTTTTGAAAGATAAGATATATGGATAAAGTGTATTTTACAGGTATGGTTTCAATTCTGCTAAAATATATAACAGTATATTTCACTGTGGTTCAGAAATATGTAGTCGCAAAACAAGATTGAAAATATTCCCTCTCATCTGTTTTTATTCTTCTTCCTGTACAGTGACTTGCAATAAGGGAAAGTTCCTGGGGATATATTTCCCCTCTGCATGTCCCTAGGCACTTCAGTCAGAAAGTGTGGTTGTTAGTGTTGGAGACAGAATACGCTGCTTATGCAGATTAGCAGATATATCCATCTAATCACATTATATATATATAATGTGAGGCTATTGTCAGTGGTCTGCTCTCCCTCTAGTGCACCCAGATGGCTCTGGAGAGGTCATGGAAGGCCACCAATTACTGGAATGGCTGGGTGAGAGAGGCTCACAATGTTTGTGGAGGTCATTCAGTATGACCACCTTTTTAATCCATTCAGTAGGTGATTATAGAGAATAGAAATATTCTTCAGTAAAATGAGCTATTGTGTAAAAGGTATATACCATTTTATTGGTTCTTCCCAAAGCTGTTGGCAGTCCCAGTTCACAAGCTAACTTTTCCTTCCAATGGAAATAATCACAGTACACCTCTATCCATGCAGCATAATGTCAAGTACATTGAATGCCTTCTGGTAAGGGCATTATAGTGGAAATATTTAGCTTGTATATTAAGCAGTCATTAACTGCTTCTAAAATTTATCTTGCAGGAAACATGAAGAAACAAGTAACAAAGAAAAAATCTTTGGACAAAAAAAGCAAACAATACAGGGAGTGTTCTCAACATTCCACTGTTGAAGAAATAAAGCAGCGGAAAGTGCTCGACCTCAGGAGATGGTAGTATTTAAAAGTCATAATTAAGATTACCGTAGTATGCAGAGCTTGTTTGTAAATGTTGTTGCTGGCTGTCTTATTTTAAATTTTAATGTGTAATAGTTTTTCTTTAATAGTTGGATAGAAGAGTATATGGGATCTGTTCAACATAGAGATAGTGAACTAGACCTGATACTTACTACAAGGGGATCTGGATCTTGTGGTGAACATAACATAAAAAATAAGAATGGCCATACTGGATCAGACCAAAGGTCCATCTAGCCCTGTATCCTGTCTTCTGACAGTGGCCAATGCCAGGTGCCCCAGAGGGAATGAACAGAACAGGTAATCGTCAAGTGATCCATTCCCTGTCACTCATTCCCAGCTTCTGGAAAACAGAGGCTAGGGACATCATCCCTGCCAATCCTTATTGTTGTTAAGATACTGTGTGCCATCATTTACATTTCCTACATATTTGGAAATTTCTACTTTCAATAAAGAACAAAAAAGTTGTGGGTGAATTTGGTACTAATAAAAAGTGAGAGCCCATTAGCATGAGCAGGCAATGTGTAAATTTACTCACATACAAGTGTAGCTTATTCTGACTTTCTGCCCTTCTTTTGTGGTCGGGGCTACTTGAGCAAAATCTCTCAGTCATACAGAACTGTGAGTGTACTACAGAATGTTGACTAAGAACTGGGTTGAAGCCACTAAACTAATTTTAACCCGTCAGAAGGTTTCTATGGCATGGAAATAAAGGTTAGGATAGGGAATCTATGATCTAAAGTCACCTCCAGTGGTAAAGTTCCAAAGAGTTGCAATTTAGTAAGGAATTGCAGTATTAGAAAGCTATTGACTTGAAAGGCTGGCTGGCTAAGGTATTGTTATTGGGATACATGTAATCTTTTCCACAAGATCATTAATGTAGACTTGACCTATTTCAGTTCTGCCCCAAAATTATTTCTATGGTTAGTAGGCCTTTGTGAATTAAGTTGGTAGTCTCAGCACAGATCTTGATGGAGTGGGATCCACATCACCACCTAATTTTAGAAATGTTCAGAAAATGCATGTGTGAGAGATTTGTGCTTGTGAAATATGCCAGATTTCCATTTTATTTACTTTTCCCGTGTGAAGTCCCATGAAAGAGAAATTGGCATATTTACTCCAGATTTTTTAAATTCATATATGCAGGTTGAGACTTACCAGTGACTTATTTTAAAGGCAAGGTGAGACAAAATACTTTTTTTTTTTTTTTTTTTTAAACACTATTTGACTTTTGGGTAAATTGTCACAAATGAAAGTGCAGCAAGCTGCATATATCTAAATAAAGAAAATTTTCTCTTTCTTCTCAGGTACTGTATTAGCCGACCACAATATAAGACTTCCTGTGGAATTTCCTCTCTAGTATCTTGCTGGAATTATTTATATAGCACACTGGGAGCTGGAAAGTACGTCATTTCTATTCCATTTCAATTTCAAGGAACCTAAAATGGCTATCTAAATACTCTATTAATTATATTAATTATGATTATCAATTTCATTTTCAGCCTACCACCTATTACTCAAGAAGAAGCCTTGCATATTTTGGGCTTTCAACCCCCATTTGAGGAAATTAGGTTTGGTCCCTTTACAGGAAATACAACTTTAATGAGGTACAATTTGTTTTCTTGAAGCAACTGAAATGCTAATGTGTAGAATAATTTTCTAATACTAAAAATAATTAGATTGTCACTCTTAAAACAGCAATAATATACTCTAACTCACTGTGTTTTATTTGAGCTTTCTGAAAACATCACGAACAATTAAACAAACCTTAAGGGTTCTGACAATAGAGCCCAGAGTCTGTTTTTAATAGCTTTTTTCCTGAGCTGTTTTTGCTGTCCTACTATTTTTGTATGCTTCTACACTGATGGCTCTAGTGATTAGAGACTGAAGTTATGTTTCTATTGCATTACCACTGCCTGTGCTATGAGCCTGCACTGGAAGGGTGACATAGGGTACCCAAATACTAACATGGGGGGAAAGCTCCCCCCCCCTTTTTTTAAATCCATAGTTCACCTTTCTTTTTAGAAGTACATCTGTCTCCATGTCAGTTCTCCATATCCATTCAGTCCTTTGCCTCTTACAAGATATTACCAAATATGTCGGATGCCATGATAGTTTTATGTGCAGACCTATTTAGGGATTGGAGTGAGACCTCTAATTAGCTGTACCTGAGAATAAGAACTTTGTTCATTATAGATCTGTGTGGGACTTGAACTAGTAAGATAAAGGTGAAAAAGCTGTATATCCATTACCAGACTTCTGTCCCTTCCAGCTCCTTGTGATGAATTATTTACTACTTGTACTACTATAGCACCTAGCAACCCTAATTGAGACCAGGCCACCGTTGTGCAAAGTACTGCATAAACGCATTAGAAGACTGTCCTTGCCCCAGTGAGTTCATATTCTAAATCACTAAAGGAGGAGAAGATGGCAAAAACAAGTATAAATATTAAGAATTATTTTGCTTCAGTGTTTGTTAAAATACCAAAATCTTTAAAATGAGTCTTATTGTTTTCAGGTGGTTTAGACAGATTAATGATCATTTCCATGTAAAAGGCTGTTCATATGTTCTATATAAACCTCATGGGAAGAACAAGACAGCTGGAGAAACTGGTAAGTAGCTAATCTTAAACACTAATTTAGTATATAAATTGGAAAGCTGTAGTTGTAAAATGTTTTAGGATCAAGAGAACAATTTGTGTAACTAAAGTCCCAACGTATGCAGTTACAGCCAGAACAACAAATGGCTCTAGGGTGACCAGACAGCAAATGTGAAAAACCGGGACAGGGGGTGGGAGATAATAGAAGCCTATATAAGAAAAAGACCCAAAATTCGGGACTGTCCCTATAAAATCGGGACATCTGGTCACCCTAAATGGCTCTGAGCTGCATAGCTTTTCTAACCTTCCTTTTTTTCCCCTTCTCTCTCTGTACTCAAATTTTCCTTCTTTTAACTAAAATAATATACCTTGTGTGTAATTATTGTGAAATAGCTGCACTCCTAAGGTGCTAGAGGCCTTTGGCTTCCCAACCTGTATCTGGCTGCTCTCTAAAGATGTGCATTTATCGTAACAGCATATCCCACCAACTGGTATGTTTTAACACTTGGGAATTCTTTATATAAAATAGATTCAGAAAACTTACAATGTAAAAATACTAACTGACCAGTGCACTTTTTAAAAATGCCACACATCTTATACAGTGTTTCTTAGTCTTGTCATGCATCACATGAGACAATTTTCCTTGAAATAATCATAACTGGTTAATCAACAAATTTGACTGGAAATACTTGCAGCATGTGTGAACTAGGTAAGTGATAACTTTACTACATGAGTCTATAATGATGTTCTAACCCATAAATGCTAAGGCATATATCAAACTTCAGATGTTGAGTTGAAAGCAGGATGTCTGTTTGGGCAGAATGCCCACCAACATTAATTAGTTCTACAGTTGGTGCTATCCTACCGGTAATAATACAGTAGCTGAACACCATTGTTCAGCTACTGTATCTTCCTTTCTGAATGTATAAGCCTCTAACTGAAGATTACTCTGGATATAAAAATATAGCTGAACCTTTAAAAAAACGTTTTAGATAGTAAACTGTCAAAGTGAAGGGGTAGCTAAGATATAGGATACACCATGCTGCAAAGGAACCTGGGAGATTGCTAGCAATCCCCACTGCAGTTATGAGGGACAATTTGCTAAATTCTATACCCATGGAGAGGAAATAACATTTTGTGTCTCTGCTCTTTAAGCGGAGAAACAAGTTTTTCTTGTTTCAGTGCTCTCCTAGTCTCTCTCCTGTTTGGAAGCACTATAGTTGGGTTAAGGAATATATTGAGGTCAAGATTCAGATGTGTTTCCCAAGAAGATCATTATTCAAAAAGTGGTTCCCGTTATGAAAATGTTGGCGAACCACTGATCTAAGAATTACAGATCTCTCTAATATATGCTTGCTGTGTACGACAAATGCTGTATTAACTGGCGTCAGTGGAATTAAGGACAGTGGGATTCCTCTGAATGGTTGTGAATATTCTTGCTTTAGTCAGCCTTACAATATTTTGATGTAGTTCAAAACAAAACAAAACCAATCCCTAAGTCTTTAATTAGGACTCTCCTGCAAGGTGGAAAAAAAAAAACCCAAATACTTTCTTTCAGATCTAAATGAAGCAAGTATTTCAATTATGTGCCGTTTCTAGAGAAATAGTTCTTGTAACTGTTTCAGGGTAATATGTTTTTAGAGAACGGGATCTGAAAGAAACAAATTGAAAATCAAATATATTTGTTTATTGCAAAGCTTTCCCATAATGCATTATGTTGCTGCTTGTGCAGTGTTACAATAAATATAACACCAGAAAATGTAAGAAAAATAACTGAGCTCTTCTGCTTGATACTGAATGCAAGATTAAAAGCACTTTGGAGAATGATCAGACCTTTCTTTGTAGCTGCAGGGGCCTTGGTAAAGTTAACACAAGGACTGAAAGATGAGTCGATGGCCTATATTTATCATTGCCAAAATCATTATTTTTGTCCAATTGGATTTGAAGCTACCCCTGTAAAAGCTAGTAAAGCATACAGGTAAGAATCTTGTAGTTATGCTTGCTCCTATGTGAATCTTCCACCAAAATGGTGACTGCAAATGATCAATGCATTTACACATGAATTGAGTGCTATGCGAACAGAATGCTAGCCCCCTGAGTGGAAATGAAATGTCTCATTATTTTATAGAGTTTCCAGGTCTGCTGTTGATAATCTCTGCAGCAAATCTTGGCCACTTGTTTTTGCCTTGTAGCTGTGACGTGTTTTAATAATTCAATCTCTAAATTGTGAAAGGAAGATAGGGTGCTGAACTTGAACTGAGGAGACTACGGTTAGGTTCCCAGCTTAACCACAGACTTCCTGTGTGGTGTTTTATTTTATTTTAAGATAAATCATTTAGTCTACCCTGTGCCTCAGTTCTCCAGCTATAAAATGAGAGTAGTACTTTAATAGAATTCATTGAAGCCACCGATTGTTTCACATAGGGCGCTGAACAGCCATTGGATAGTAACACTAGGGGTATGTTTTAAGAGCAGGAAAAAGTAAGATCTTTGGAGGCACTCTCAGAGAACAAGGATGGTGAGGAAAAAAGTTTCTTCTAATTTAAACATGCTTTCTGGAGCCTTCAGTCTTCATCATTGCATACATATCACACTCTTGGCCTTATATTGTGGTCACCATTCTTCCAGTGAGAGATTTGAACAGAATTCCCTGATGAGTCAGTCAACATCCATTTTTATTAGTGGGGAGGAGGCAGTGTGTGTCACAACACAAGATGTTCCTTATCTCCAGGAAATGAACAGTCACTTTCAACCTCAGTTTCCTGTGTGAAACAGGAGTTTGGACCAGAAATCAAAGTCCTGTTTCTCCTAAGTCACTTGGGTAATCTATTTTGCTAATTTATAATAGGTAATACATTATTTAATAGTTCAGTAGCCAGTTGTAATTTGTCTCAACTATACTAACAATTGTAAAATATTTCAATAAAAAATTCTAAAAACCAATAGCAAGTTAATATGCTGCTGTCTTTCATTGCAATATGCATGCTGAGTCTGACTAGAATTATATTTTTGTTCAACAGAAGTCACCTCTTGCAACAAGAAGTGGAATATTGGATCTTAATTGGAGAACCAAGTAGAAAACACCCTACCATTCACTGTAAAAAGTAAGCTAATATACTTCTCTCCTATTTTTTTTTAAACTTCTAGAATATAGGTACTTAAAACATGCAGTTTCTTCTAAGAACTGTCCTCTCCAATCAGGCATGGGCAGTACACTAACCATTTGTAGCTTCCATGATTCAAAAAGTCAGGGTTTTAGTGAGAGTTTTGATTTTTCATATTATACTAGACCTGGGTTACTAATTCTGTGATCAAATCTACAACATGTCAACAATGTTTTTTGTGAGTACAATGTACAGAAGACAAGGTTTCCTGTCCCAGATGTTTACAGCCTAAATAGACAAACACAAATCAGAAATATTGGAGACTCCAAAAAGGTGTAACTCACAGCTCTCTTTTAAGAGATTTTATTTTTGTTCAGAAAATACAAATGCTTTAGATGTCTGAGTTGGAACTGATTCACTGAACAGCTTCTTCAATCTCACTTGGTGCTGGATCTCTAAAACTTGGTACCAGTTTCTGGAGGAAGGGAACAGCATTTCTCCAAAACATCAGAATTTCTGAAAAATCCATTCCCCTCCCCCCCAAAAACAAACAAACCAACCAAAACAAAACATGGGGACTGTGAGTAAAAAGGTTTCTCTGACTTTTTCTCCTGCCTGTTTGTGGGCTGGTATGTTGACCCATGGGAACAGAGCTGGTTGGAAAAATCTGACAGTAATCAAATAAAAATTTGTCCTTCCCCCCCACCCGTGTTCTGTCCAGCTATTCTGAAATCTGTACTTGTTAGACTTTTTCATAGCCAATCAGATCTGTCCCTTTATGTAAGACTCAGTTTTTGGCAAGTGTGCCAAGGCTCTGTCAGTGAATTGGGGCAACTGGTCACTGTGGCCTAATGAGACTTAAACTCTACCAAAAAGCCATCCTGTGATAGTCCTAATGCAGCTGATATACTACAGAGCGCAGTACCCCTGGCTCTCACCAGAGGACTTTTGGCCCTATGGGGTGGTATGCACAGGGAATTTACATCAGCATAGCTACGTGTCTCGGGGTGCGAAGAATTCCTTCCGTCAACCTGGCTACCACCTCCCAGAAAGGTGGATTATCTACGTGGACAAGAGGGGTTCTCCCATTGGTGTAGGTAGTGTCTACACGGAAGTGTTACAGTGACACAGTTGCAGCTGTGCCGCTGTAGCGTTTTAAGTGTAGACATACCCTAAAGGCTTCAAGCAGCAGAGGGAGGTGGCCCAGAGGACAAATACAGGCTTCTGTGGTGCTATTTCAGCTCATACACATGCTCCCTGCTGCCTAAACTCTGGTTGTTTCACTCCCAGCAGCAAATAGTGGGGGTGTTTCTGAGCTGGGGGTCTAACAAGGAGGAGAGTACTGAGCCAGGGGATGAGTTTTCTAAACCAGGAGGGTCAGGTTGAGGAGGGACAGGGGTGTCTTAAACCTGGAATAGTTGTGTGGGAGGTGTTTCAGATTTGTCAAGTAGTTAAGTAGGAAGAAAGGAGTCCCCCTCAGCAGGGCCGGCTCCAGGCACCAAGCACCCAAGCTGGTGCTTGGGGCGGCACCTGGAGGGGGGCGGCGCGGCGCTCTGGCCGCCGGGGGGAGAGCCGAGCCGAGCCCCAGCCG